CTTAAAATAACAGGTTACAAAAAAAAAAAAAAAAAAAGGAAAGAAAAGAAAGTAGTCATCCGATTGGTGCTGGATTAAAAGTTATCATTTAAAGATTTTAATATAATTAATACCTTATCCAAAATTTGTTGCAATAGCTTAACCTGTTGATCCTGCTTTCTGATCGTTTCCAAATAATCAAGCCTATCAAGTTCAAATTCACCATGTAAATCTTCAATATCATTTTCCAGCGATTGTATCTAAAAGTGTAAATTTTATCAGTTATTTAAAAATTCGTTTGTTTTTTTTTCTCGCCTAATTGGAATCTCTAATCCCTTCAATTAATCAAGTCTTAATTAATCATTCAGCTGTTGTATACAACATTTGAGGTAATTAATACCGAATTCCCCTCTCCTCCCTTTTTTTTTTCCGTCCATAATTATCGGTAAGATGGTAATTAAGATTAATTAACAATTAAAAATTAAAATTCACCAAAACATTTGAATGTTTTATATTTGAAAAAGGCTATCAAACGAAAGATTACTTTTAATTTAGCTTTATTGTACTGTTCCGTAATTGCTTCTAACTTTTCTTGTGTCGAACTATAAACATGAAGTAATGGATCATCACTATGTACATTTAATGCTGCTGAAAAATAGCATCACTTTATACAAGATTAACATTTTTAAAATTAAACCTTTTCTTGGAACCTAATTAATATTCTAATTAGTAAAATAAAGCATTATACTGCATTACACTCGAGTAACGAATAGGTAAAAATTTCAAGGATTATTACAATTAACAAATTATTCAATGTAATCAATGTATCCGATGATAACATATGCTATATATTGAATACATCAATCACCTGCTTACTTCATCATTAACTTGAACTATTAGTTATTTGCATTACATCTTCCTAATTAGCTAACAAATATTTAGCATCATTTTTAGCAATATTAAATTTGTCAAATTATATCAATTTAAATAGCTACTCATTGATATCAACTTATAAAAAAAAAAAATCTAAATCAATAACATATATATGATTTGTTTTAAAAATTTATAAATGAAATAAATTTTGTGAAATAAAAAAAAAAAAAAAAATAGAAATAAATACAAATAATTAGCT